CATCAGACTCTTTCCCGGTGAAAATGGCTAAATGTGCATTTTTAAGTTTTTCTCWTTTCTTTTTCACTCTGTTGCTGGCGATAATGTACAACACAGTGACTAAGGCTTTCTGCTTGTAATAATATTTCTTACTGATGGGGGAAAAACCAGTTTTAAATTATTCCACATATCAGTGGTCRCATGCAGCAAAAACAAGCTAAAAATGCTAATGGCCTCAGTCCATGAATATCCAGAAGGCAGAAATCTTTTGTAGTATAAATATATCATTTAATGAAAATATTGAAAGGAAGTGCATTTCCATGAAATTCATCTATCAGAATGTTATTTTTAATAGATTAATTCATTGCTTTACCCAGAGGTGTTTTTCTTTACAGTCTTTTTCCAGACATAGAGCCTTACTGTGCTCTCTTTGGGGTATAAACAGAACAGCATTTGCATTGGTTCTCCCCATACTCTGTAGCAGTGAATTGCCATAAAGCATGAATTTGACTTCCCTAATTCTCTTTGCCTTAAAATGCCTGAAAAAGTTCCACTTAGGTTCTTTGTATTTATTTTTGTGAGTTTAATGGAAAAGCTCTATCCACTTCTAGGCGCTTGATTGTGAAAAATCAAAAGTGGTCCTTGACAAAACTGATGTTTGTTGCCTCTGAGGTATAATCCATCTCCTCATGTATAATGTAGGTGAGTCCTTGTCTTTTCATATGCCTGTTCCTGGGCAAGCAGAGTGCACCATACATCAGTGTAGACACTCTAGAGTAGGAGGTATTTGCTTTGTTGCCATGTAGTGACACTAAATTCAATAGCTCTTCCAAAGGGCTCTGAAGTCCTCCAGTGGAAGGGTCTCTCATTTCCTTCCAGGAGTTCCACCAATGAGCTAATCACTACATAAAGCTATTTGTCTTCCAAATTAGCAGGGGTTGAGCAATCCGCTTGTTTCAGTGACTGAAATTGTCAGGCATGTGAAAGAAATATTAGCCATCCATTTCTGTAAAACATTAACTTCTTTATCCAGAATTGCTTTTTGCATTAATTGTTAGGATCAGCAGTTCATGTACTAAACTTTTCCCTAGTAGGTGGCACGCTAAAACACTGTCTTTCTGCAGAATAARCACTCTCAGTGACTTGGTTGTTCCTCACTCTTTTGCCCAAGAGTGGTAAAACTGAATTGCAGTTAATTTTTTTTGTGTTTGCATAGAAATTTGAATAGTGACTAAGTGGTCAATTCTCATGGCAGTGAATAGGAAAAGCATGGTTGAAGTTCCATGGAATAACCTGTACCAGAATTGCATCTTCTCAGGGTTCTTGGAATGAGCTGTGCTCCCTCCTAAGATGCAAARGAATTGAATTTCCCAGTTGGCATGGGGTCATTGTGTTCAGAGAGTCACAGYAACACCCTGGGTCTTCAAAGATTTTTTTTTTTTATGAAGGGTTCATGTTCAATTACAAGTTGCAAGTTTGGCAGAGCACATAAATTTATTAGAAGAGAGGTCAGAGGGGCAAACACCTTGACATATTAGAATGAGTCCTGACCTGGCTTCTGGGACAGTTAGAAACAACATTTTTTTACATAGATGTTTACTTCCCCACTTTTGCTTTAAGCGAGACAGTCATCAATTATTTTGTAAGTTGAGGATGAATTTCTGGTGTTGCTTTTTCCCAATTTTCTCTTTCATGATAAAAAGCCTTCTACTCATGTTATTTGCTGTCATTTGACCTCAACAGCTTTCTRCTTTTTGATAAATGAAAATAATGAAATGATGATTGGATAAATAACACATCTGAAAACTGCGCTGGATAATTAACAGATGAATGTAACAGATAGTGTAATGAAACTGAAAAATGTTTTTCCATCTGGGTAAGATCCCGACCTAAAGTTATCTTTTCATCCCTTTCCTCGGGAAAGTGAAAACTTGTGCCGAATGAAACTGAAATTGTGATGGAGAAAATGCAGTTTCCCTTTGCACCTTTTTAGTAGCAGAAACAAGAAAAAAAWCAGGGTATAACAAACCAGCCACTCTTGGTCTTGGAGCAATTTTTAGCACTGATGGTGTGTGAGAGGAGACTCATGGGCTGTGAGACCAAAATCTAGTGCAGTGCTGATAAGATGTTGTAACAAACAGCAAAAAGCCTCCAGTACTGTTGTGCTCATATTTCTCTGTCAGGTGGAGCAGCTGCTACATACATCTCCCAGAGCAGCAGCTTAGTAAATGCTCTGAATTGCGTGTTGAATCTCTCATCCCTGCCTCTCTGGGGAAATGAGTTAAAGATGTGCAGAAGAACCATGCAAATAATCTTTTTCTCAGGAAAAAGTAGCTTAATTCAAGCCGGTATTGAAAAAGAGATAAAATAGGGTTTAAGCTGTTATCATATGCAGAGATATTTGAGGTAGTCGTCTGTATATTGATGGCAATTTAGACTGAAAATAGTGTTTATTAACTCAAATATGTTAGACTTGAGAAATTAAACAAACGAAGATAAGAGAAGCTCTACCCTGGATGATAATGTCAGGCTTGGTAAGTGCCAAAAATGCAGATGTATTTAATGGAAAGGCAAATCCATGGGAACAGGCAGCACACCAGCCAGGACAAGGCTGGGGAGAGAGCAGCCAGAAAAATACCCACAGAAGACACCTTGAGAGAGGCAAAATTGGTCCACCCTTTGAAAAAAAAMMMAAAAAAACCAAAAACAACAAAGACAGAAAAGTAATACAGAATTAAAATTTGGGATTAAGGTGCTAGTTTCTCCCTCGGGATCTTCAAAGTAAAATTAACATTTGTTGCTCCCTCAAGTATAGAGATTGGTTATAGAGCTTTATGCTGATAGATGGAGTTTGATAGATATAATCTAAATCTGAAGTACATGATAAGAATATTTGTGTGTAATTTTCACAGTATATAAATGTTGGGGTTTGGTGGTTTGTTTAGGGGTTTTTTACAAAACTTTTCTTCTTCCATCAGATGAAGTGCCTACATGACCACAGGTGCTGCAGAACTATTGTACTGATTTTAGTGAGTTTTATTTGCCGTTAGGATGACTACAGAGCAGGCRTATTTGAATTAAAACAGTAATACCATAGTGGCATCAGTGAGCAGAAGTGGTAGTATGGCACCCAAAGCTATAAAGGTATTTTGTGGTGACACAGTYTTCCAAACATACAATAATGAGAATGCAATTTAAACATTAAATTCACTTTGGTGCAAGAGAAAATATTAACATGAAATCTCTATATGCTGCAGTAGTTATCTCRCTACTGAAATGCAGTGTTTTCTGGGGATGTGCCATAGCTCTGTAATTCCATTGAACAGTTTAGGAGAAGTCTGAGAACAACTTACTGTAGTGAAATGAATAGAATAAAAATACCAAAGTGCACAAGGRTACCTTGGCTTGTCCAAAGTACACTGGAGAGTAACCATAGGGGATTGATGTATTGTGTCCTCTAGTAGATTATACCAGAGCATTATTTATATAGTGCTTTTATTTATTTAAACCTATTTCATTTTTGGTTTAGTGTGTGTGACAGTCTAACAAACAGTAAAATGACCTGACCATGCCTTGGTGATGTCCATCTGAAGCACATCATCAACACTAGTAATGAAATCTGTCTTTCCTATGTGAGCATWAAAAAACCTTCCAAAAAAACCCCAAAACATTGAATTCCATTCGTAAGATATTATTTCTGTTCCTGCTCAGAAAGTGCTTCCTTCAGATGATACATAACAGTGCTTTTTCTGTATATTTTTTACAAATTTTGTTTCAAAATTTAATTTCTAATCCATTGAGAATCGGTAGCATCTATTTCTTTTTACTGCAGTTTATCTTGTTAATTTGATAAAGAGTCTGTTGGCATTTCTTTTGKATATTTAGTTCCTTTGTGTGCTTTAAGAAACTCCTGCTGCACTGTGTGTTATTCAGCCATTTGTGGCTTGAAACACTGCCTAAATGCTGGCTTATGTTTCCTCATTTTCAGGCCATAGCTTTTTATGTCTCTCAACTCAAGTCTTGCAGCAATAACACCGAGTTCCTGCTRTGGTTAGAAAAACACCACCCTTTTGAAAATATCATCTGCCACCACTTTATTGCACAGTGAATAGATTTACTTTGGAGGGTTGCAATATTTCGTTTGACTCTGTAGCCGTTTCTTAGAAATAGAGTTTTTATATAAATTCCAAAATAGTTTTATGTTACATGGCTGATCACTTTTTGGAAAAATCAAAGTGCAAGATTTCTGACTGAATTCCACATGTAGGAGAGCCTTCAAAAAGTCCTTTCTGTATTTGTTCATTGTACTAATATTATGCCAAACTTTGCAGAATTCACTGCTTGGAAGTACTATCTCTGTTCTGTCACCAGCCTTATCTGTTAAATCCCAATGAGTGTGAAAAACGAGAAAAATCTGGGTTTACTTGGCTGTTTCAGCAGTTTGTTGAGAATGGCCAGATTGCTGGAGAAGACGACTCTCTTGGAAACCCTAACAGCCCAGCCTTCTCATCTGTAGGCACATAGAGCTCATCTGAGTGTGTAAATAAAAATAAATAATGCAGTGAAAAAATATGCAGAGTATTTTGCTGAAGTGTTTCAATTTTGGATGTGCCATAACTAATTTAAATCTTCTGTAGAGATTTATGCAGCCAAGGGGTCAGGTTTACAATGGTTGTAATTTAAAGCTTTTCTGCTACTACACCTTTTCTACTTTTATATCCTATTATGGTACCTTTTTGCTGCAAAGAAAGTCCCTTTTATTCCCTTTTCCTTTTCTGCTTTGAAGAGAACATTTGCTTCTCCATTTATATGAGGTAATGAGATCAGAGTAGCTCCGGATTCTTTAAATCAATCTAATTGGGCTTCTTAGAGTGTATAGAATACCCTTCTTTTGCACAGGACTTTCATTCCTTTGTGCAGTAGCTCCATCTCCAGCACTCGATATCTCACACGGCTTTTTAATTAAAAACACGCAGCAAGCAATTGTCATCCAAATGGCTGTGGTGTGTTCTTTCCTGCAGGCTGATTCACGGAGGGCAGCTGTTGAACGGTTTGGCGGGGCCCACGGTGATGAACGCGGCTCCGTTCCTCTCCACCACCTGGTTYTCCCCGGACGAGCGCGCCACGGCCACGGCCATCGCCTCTCTGCTCAACTACCTGGGCTGTGCCGCCGCYTTCCTGGTGGGGCCTCTGGTGGTGCCCCCTCCCAACGGCACAGCGCTGCTGMTGGCACCGAGCAACACCCAGCACATCAAGGACCGCATCGAGGCCGTGCTCTATGCAGGTGTGGGGCAACAGCAACGCTTAAAAACATAGAAAAAGTACTTACTTTTGTGTGTGATAGGTGCTTGAGAACCACTACCCTCTAGTGGCTGGTTTGCACAGGAGCTAGTCTGTGGCTGAGGAAAAATAATTAAGTCAGGAGGCTTAATTTTTTTTTTCCTTTTCTATAGGAAAGATTTTTAAATAGCYTTCTGTACAGACTGACTCCAAAGAAAGTAATTCAATTGTTTTTATCGGCTGATCTTGGGAGAAATATCTTCTTACACTTACCCTGTGCTTCCAAACTGATTTTTTGCTTATTGAATTTTCATTGAAAATATGTTTCCATGACAAGTTGGATTTCTTCTACTGTTTCTGTAAGGATGGAAATCCAATTGTCTTTTAGCATTAAATTCTTTTTTGCATTAAATGAGCCTTAATCTATGACCTGCATGTGCCTTTTAAATGTGATTAGATTATTAGTATTTAAGAATCTAACTCTGAAATTAAAACAGAATAGATTTTTTTTTAACTAAAACCACATAATTCTTACTGGTGAGCAATTTCAATGAAGTGACACAATTCAGCTGATAAAAACTTGGATTTTATGTCCATGTTCTTTTTATTTCAATGTCTTCTATGCCTCTTCCTGTCACTTGGAAAAATTAGCAACAAACTTTAAAGAAAAAGAGTTGGTTAAATAGTKTAAGTGTCTACATTCTGATTTTTAGTGAATATAAATTGGTAGAGCATTAAGAGCAGCTCAGCTCTTTACCATGTCATGGCAGTTGCACATCTGTTAGGGGTTTTCCCCTCTTATAATTGCAGCCTCTGAAATTCAGCCAGGAGTTAGTCTTAAGTGTTCCAGATGTCTTAAAGTATATATACTGTGTAGTTTATATGGAGGTTTAGGGGATTGAGTTAGCTGTTTGTGATCATTTATTCCTGGACATTATTCTTATGGAAATTTGTCAAGTTAATATTCTTGTTGGGTGAGGGCCACTTGAATGTTTGTTTTAAAGAAAGTGTAATAGAATTTAAATCATGACTTCAACTTTTTTTGAGTAACCTACTTTTTACTGGACTCAGAACAACAAGGAAATTCAGGTYTGGCTAAGGCTTTGTCACTGGTAAATAAGGTGTTAGGGTCTGCAAATCCCATGGCAGATGAAAACAGCTAGTGTSAAAGAAGGGRAAATAAAARCAAKTCAGGTTTTGTCCTGAGGAGCAGTAGATAAGGGGAGGAAAACCCTTAGCAATTAGAGAAGGTGCTTTACCTCTCCCTCTGCAGATTTTCCATGGAGAGGGAAGAATTCATCTCCCCTAAGAAGGTACCTTTTTGTGCTTGAAACCACTGTTTTGAGTCTCATGGCATTAGAAATGTTGATTTCAGCAGCCCATTAGATTCACATTCTCTTCTGTTCTCTTTTGGAGGTTTTCCTAAGCATTTTYCTCAGAAACAGGGATGGATCTTGCCACCAAGGTTGAAGTCTTGCCTTCCCCATGTCTCAGCATGGCTTTCTACCTTTCTGAGCTGACAAGGGTGTATAGACCTGTTTGGGATCACTGGTTCCAGCAAAAGATGATCCTGCAGCAGCTTTTCAGCTTTGTAGGAATTGTGTTTTGTGGGGCATTTTCACTGTATTTCTCACTTAGTATTTGAAAGTGCTTTGAACAGAGATGGTTTCTTTGTGCTTGTGTTTATGTCCTATGGGATGTGGGATGCATCTTTGGGGAGCTGCAACCCCTGTAGCTGTTCAGTCAAAGACAAAGGGCTGCTTTGTGAACACCCTTCTGGCTTGCAGTGAATCACAGTGATGATGGAAAACCTCCAACTGGTTTAAAATTGCAATCTGTCAAAGAGACGTTTACTTTGAGTACGTCATGGGATTTGTTCTGTGTCACCTCATCCCTGTTTCCCTGGAGRGCTGAAGGTACAAGGTCCTTGCTGWYWGCTTCCCTGTGCTCTCTTGTGTCCCRTGGGCTCCAGAGGTGGAAGGGTGGATGCCTCATGGCGGGTGTTAGTGAACAGACAGCTCTGTTCACCTGTGGGATGAGAAATATCTGGTAGGTTTGGTAGGGTACTATTTGTCCCTTTAAACAGCTGGGCAGGAAACTAGGCTCAAATTGTCTTTAGAGATTAGTAGTAAAGGTTTTGGAGAATGTAGAACAACAAGAAGCTGGATCCAAATGTTCCACTTCCCCACTTCTTCAGCAAGTGTGGGCAGGTGTGGTATGACTTCTCCTTTCAGGTGCTACAGGAAAGCCAGTTTCACAGCATAAACACTGCATTTCTAATGAGTTTGTTGCTTTTGTGTGAACTAGCGTTAAATAAGCAGCCTCCAAAAGTTAGATGATGTCTTTTAAAAGACAGTAATGATGTGAATTGTTAACTTGGGATCAGTARTGTGCCAAGAGTGTGCAAATTTTCCAAGGACTTAAGCTCAAACATGATTACGAAGCAATTGCTTATAAACCCATTCTGAAATTGCTCTGTTAACTCCAGTGTCTTCCGTGTTTTWATAAATTGCTGTTCCTTKATCTCAAACATGGACTAAGAGCTCAGCTGAATTGSCACAGCCTCTTTTTGTGTCATCTGTGTCACTGCATATTGTGGTTCACAGCTCAAGTAGTGTGGATGTAGCAAATCACGATTGAATTCTATTACCTGAGTCRCATAAGGAAGCATGAATTATTCTGGACTGCAGCCAGAGCTTTTAGCCTTGTGCTTTCTTAAATATCARTGTAAAATCATTACTTGTTTAAATTAAATTTTAAAAAAATGTGTGTGTGCAAGGGGACATGCACCCTGGAATGTTCCCACAGAACAAGGTGGGGAGGAGAGTTTCTGGGAGTGGGTAGGGTTTTGTGCTACGAGTACCCTGTCTGAAGGAAAAATACTATGTATCAATGAGCCTTGTGGCTCTGTAAACCTCTTCTCTTTTTTCCCCCTTTTGTGGGTTTTTTTTCTTGGTTTTTTTTTGGTCTGTTTGGAGTTTACACAAGCATCAGGGTGCCTACTTTCTAAGCTAAGATGCAGGGATCTCTCACRCCACAAGTCACTGTGGTGTGGTACCTACCCTACCTTTTGTGAAGCATTCCAGTTTCACTCCTCAGTAAGAGATATATATATGTACATGTCTGTATCTGTGCTCTCTAATTTCTGACTTGCCCCATTCCACGTTCTTTGCTCTGTTTGAGAGCATCCACTGCGCTGTTGAGAAGCTGGTAACTGCTGTAGAAGAGCTTCTCTCTTGTGATTGCAGCTCCCTCACTCTCAGCCTTGACCTATTTCTTATCTTCTTGATTTTGATTATTTTTACTCCCTACTTACAGTGCCAGGAAAAGTTTTACATTGTATTCCTCTTTGTCTAGTCTGGTAAAGTAAATAATGGAGATAAGGGTGTGGGTTTCCTGTTGAGGAGGGRTTTTTACATGTAAGAAATCAGATGTGTTTGGCAGTACCTGGACTTTTGATAGAGGTGTAAGTAYTGTATACAGAGCTAAGATGGCACTRTAAACTCAACTCCTTCAACAGAGGAAGGTGTATTTGTTTACTGAGTAAATTCTGCATTTTTTTTTATGCATGAGAGCAGAGCTATCTAGGCAAATTTGCTAGCCTGAAAAGTATAACMCTGGGAAACATTAAGGAGTTGCAAGAAAGTACAACAAGGACAGCATGCTGAATTCAGTAATTAAAAAAAATGGAGGGTTACTATACTGCTCTACTGCAGCAACTTGACTGGCAGAAATTTTGAGGCAGTGCATAGATGAGGCCCCAGATGGACACCTGTTATGAAATACTGCTATGACTTTAAAAAAAATCAATGTGGTTTATATTCTTCAGAAAAAAACCTGGCTTTTCTCCTTATAGCATTGTAGTATAACGAAGTATATTAATGAGTACCTTGGACAAAATTCATGGGTTTGTGTGATCACGTTGTTGATTAGCTATACCTGTCTGCAGTCTTAGTTCTTCTTTTAATATGTGAATAAAACGTGTGTATGCATGTACATGTGTATGCCTATAAACCCATATGTAGACTAGAAGCAGGAGGGAGGATAAAGAGCTTTTACTAAAGAGCTGTGTGGTATCATCCTGTAGTGACAGAGCATCTCATCTCTTTCTTAGGTCTGGGATGATCAGTTACAGCCAGTTCTTTATTCACTGCCCATGGTTTCCAAAACAATGTGTGCAAAGATAGAAAAAGATCTATTTTCTGGAGAGCAGAGGAGTGAAAAGATCTAGTTAAAGTGCCCTTGGCCCTCGAAACATTACACCACAGCAGGAAAAGAGACACCACRTAATTCAAAATGAATTCTTTAGTATTTGATCATGAAGAATGGCATTGTCACACTCCCCATATGCCTTCAAAGGAATTGTAGTGTAGACTTTTTTCCCGAGTGCCGAATAGAATTATTCATTTCCCTTCCCCATCTCCAGCTGATCCATTTAGACACTTGATGTTATTTACTTTTCAGTTTCCTGAATTTATTTTTTTTCTAGTTTAGCAGATGACCTGGCAAAGTGCCATGTTGATATTGATTTATTAAAAAGTAAAAGAAAAAAGAAAATTAAGGCAATTGGGTATCCAGCTCTGCTGGAATTTATTTGTGGTGTCACTGAACACTTCTTTGTTATAAGATCACAAGTTCTTTTAAGATAACACACTTCAGCTATACATTYTTCTCTCCAGCAGCAAAGAATCTTGTTTTCAAAGAGGATAGGAGAAATACTGGGATTGAGGACTGTGGAGAACATGATATACATYGTAAAAGGCCTGCAAAACAAATTAATTAGATTGACTGTGGGTAGAGTTGTTATTCTTCAGAATGTCTGCTCATGGGACTTACTGAGTATTTTCTGTGAAGTGCTCATCACTTTTGAAGTTCAGGTTCAAACTTCTGCTATGAAATTTTTCAAAGGTTTGGAATACCTGCTGCTAAACAAGCAGAGCATCCACAAACAGCTGTATTCTTTCTTTTTTCTCCCTCTTACCCATACTTTTTCTATTCATGAGCCATGGCTGCCTCTGCACTTTGCTCTTTATATTCTGTTGCCATGTAATATTGTTTGTGTCGGAACTGCTGCCTTGCTTGACCTTTTGTTTGCCTTCATCATCTTGTGCAATGAATAATTGTTATTCCATGCCCTGGGGCTTCCCCAGTCCAATCTGTTTAAAGTCTCTAGCATGCTGTTACCTGCAGTGAGTTACTTCCATCGCAAGGAAACGTGGCCAAGTCCTCATATTGCAGTTCTCTCTGAAGAGAAAAAGCAAAAGCTTTCCTTTTGCTTCACTGAGTTCCCTGTGTGTGAGCCTGGTTCTCTACAGTTCCTATCACTGGAATGGGCTGCCAGTTTCATTGATTCTCCAACTCAATTTGAAATCTTGTTTGGGGAAGGAGAAAGAAATTTCTCCTTCAAGTTGCGGAGTTCTGCTGTCAGGAGCAGTCAAGCACTTGTGGTGGGATTTATGTCTCGGAGGCTGGCTGATAACAACGCTGTAGCAAAATAAGTCTTTCAATGCTAACATCTGTTCTTGGTTTTGTTTTTCTTTGCCCTCTTGTTTAGAATTTGGAATGGTTTCCCTGATATTTTCTGCAGCGTTGGCCTACTTCCCCTCGCGCCCTCCATTCCCCCCCAGCGTGGCTGCAGCGAGCCAGCGACTCAGCTACAGGAGAAGTTTTTGCAGACTYTTAAGGTAGGACCTCATTGGGTTTCCACTTCAAAGCAGATCAGTGCCTAAGTAAATAAAAACAAGTGTGCTTTAATCTTCTCATTGAGCCAACAAGTTGGTTTGTAGTGCTTTTAAACAAAATAAAATTAAATATTAATGTCAAGACATAAAAGGATGTTAACTGCTAAAGAGCAGATATTAAATTTTAAACCACTGTGTATATCTCCAGTCTTCATGCCAGTCCTTCAGCACCAGCAGTGCTTTAGTCATCCTGTTAGCAAGACTTTTCTTATGCAATGTTTCTGTTACATTAGGTTGTACAAGATTGTTAAATGTGAGCTGTAAGAAAACAGTGAACAACACTGGGAAAAACTAACTTATAACCTGTTTTCTTCTGTGCTTATTATATTGGAATGAATTTGGGGTTTGCTTGCCTTTTGAAGGATTATTCAGCTGCGTTCATTCAACTGTGGAAGCAATGAATGAACTATCTRAAACTATTATATGAACTGTAAAATCTCATTAATTGTGTGTTAAAATATGAAGTGGAATAGGAAAAATGTCTCCAGATGTGTTTCTGGACAGGCTCAAAGGYGAGCTAGCTGCCTTTGAATTTTTTGGTTAAAAAAAAAAAGATTTTAAAGAAAATGACAGTTTTGCTACTTCTCTCACTTGGGTTCTCTTGGTAAGACATGGTCCCATTTCCTCCCAGTGTTTGTACAGTGTCTTGTGTAATGGAACTATGATCTCACAGGAGCAGCTAAAACAACTGTAATACTAATGGTGAATAATTGGGAAGGCCCATGCCCTGTACATGATACTGCACAGAGGCACTTTCTGGGGCAAAGAGAGAACTGCTCCCCTGGTACAGAATGTGACTGACTTCACTGGGAAGCTTCAGACTCTTGCTGTAATTGTTTGTTGAGGGATGTAGTGATAGGAGCTGAATCTGCATATAAAGGGCTGCTTGAAGCTTGATCATTGTGAAGCTTTAAACATTTAGTTACTACAGATCTATTGTGGGCTGTACTTTCAATAATTGTATTTAGAGGCAGTGAAAACAGCTCATCCCTTGTTGTCACTGGGCTTCTTTTTTTTTTTTTTTTTTTTTTTTTTGAGGCTTTTTTTTTTTTTTTCGGGGGAGTAAATAGTTGGCAAGATGCTTAATCCTGTGTGTTCATCCTGGAGCGGGCTGGCACTCAGGAGGTGTGAATGCAGCTGGGTGGTTAGTCTGCAAAGTAACCTACTCAGGGTATTAAAAACCAGCAATTTCCTTAGGGACACTTAGCACACACAATAATGCTGTTCTGCACCCAAGCTGATGTGCAGTTAGACCCTGCCTGAGGGCTGTGTTGTAAAAATGTTGCTGTTGAACAGAAATCCAAACAGCAACTGGCTCCGCAGGTGAAATATAAAATTTCTGTTGACAGTTCTCCATTTGGGAGTTTTATAACCATTCCACTCCACATTCAAAGTGTTGTACACAGTGGACCTGAGATACTGRTAAGGTCAGGATGTAAACAGCAAAGCTGGCCTACTGTTCACAATAACCAGTGAAACTTAAGAAAACAAACTGGACTCTTAAATAATGAGTGTGTTTTACAGTGTCTTCAAGAGCCAAGAGGAGTTTTTTGAAATGTGGACAGATAGATAATTACATTTTCCTTCCCTCTGGTCTTTATGTATTCTTCCATGCTACCCTTTATCAAAGGCATTTCTTCATTCCTCTGTACATGAAACAATCAACAGTTCATCATTAAACCCACTTATCTTGGGAAGCCTTTCAGTAACAATCTGTCATGCAAAGGAGTTTTATAAAAGAAAGCAGTATCTGCCATGCTTCAAGAGAAATCCATCATCTGGTTCATTAGGCCTCTAATCTCTGTTGCCTGCCTAATCTAGGCTTCATCTTGGCTCTCAGTGTGTTTCTTCTGACTTAGTGGTGTCGATTGAGTGTAACCAGCAGATGAGTACCAGGAAATCATGATTTCCCTTTATTGTAGACTTACCCTCCTCTGGTGTCAGAACTGTGTGTAAGGCATTTAGGATGTATGTGAGCTGGTGTGCTGACCTGGCTGTGCACCAAATTCCCTCATGAGAGTTGAGATGTTCATCATTTCCCTCCCTTCTCCCCCAGGCTGCAGTTTTATTACTGCAAAATAAAGCAACATAGCATACCTTTAGCATTGAAGTCACTGACCTTTTCTCCTTGGAAACAGAGGGATCCATCACATCCTTGCAAATCCCACACTCCTTCATGCTTTCAGGTCCTTGGGCATTTATCTACCTGAGCTTCTCCTTGCAGAGTTATTATACCCTCATCAGAGTTCAACCATCCCCTGTAGGCCTTTTTTGGGGGACTGTCTTAGGAACTTGTTTATTCCTTCTGATTTGGAGGGTTCCTCTTTCTGACAGATTGTAACAATTAGCTGATCTCTGATTATCTCCTGATACCAACTCTCTCAGCCTGCAGTGGGAGACGACAGATTGGTCATGGTTTGGGAGCTAAGCCCAAATCTTTTAACAGTCTATCACACACTGTGACAAGTGTAGTTTGAATTTCCATTAGAAAAAGTGTGGTGCCCTGTCTCAGTATCTTGAGTGAAGCAAATATGACTTGTTTTTGCTTTCCCCAGTTCAGAATATTCCACAAACTTCAATGGAAAATAATCCTAATACAAGTAAAAGGTCGATAAGTATTARAACCTGCATTAAAAAACCTGTTGTGATTTTTGCTTTGAAGTGGTAAGATACTTTTAGCCAGTCACATGGCTTTTTTATTTTCAAGGGACTATATAAGCAATTTTGAAATTTTGTATTGGGGTTTTTATGCATCATTATTGCTTTAATGACACTTGCATCAACATCACCATCTAGTAATGGATGCTGCTCAGGATGTGCCTGATGTTAATAAGCACTGGCAAAGTTACTCTGAAAATGATGGCTGTCTTTGATGGGGCTCCCTTCTGAACCAGCCTGTCTTACACATTCTAGTGACGTTAGGTTTCTGAAAAAAACAGAAGAAAAAAATCAATTCATATTCCAGCAGAATGGTTAAACAGGGAGACTAATGCTGATATCCTGTCATTGTTGATAGGGTGGAAAACAGTGTGGGTTCAACAGCTGATGGTGTGACAGACAGCACATTTTTCTACTTTCAGAGGAGCAATTGCAAAATTGCAAAAGCTGTGCACAAGTGACTGGAGCTGTGAAAAATGGAGCTGCTACTGAAGATGTGTGTTTCAAATGGCTTYAACCAGCACGAGCTATTGCTGGGCAAGGGGGCAGAATGTCACCTGGTGATCAGTGTCTCTGTCACTGCCAGGCTCCCTTTYTCCTGGTCACCTTCCTTGTGGAGACTTAGCAGAGGAGCAGCCTCTGTCCCTGGAGATTGTCAAGATGCAGAGCTCTCCTCTGGTATTGGTRCTAGGACTTGGATGTGGTACAGAGCAGCTGTCCCACATCACAGTCTCTCTTGTTGCTTGAGTTATAGAAAACAAATACACCACAGGAAATTCTGGTCAAGTAAAGGACAAAGTTCTCACTCCCTCAGRAGTGGCTATAATGAAGATGAGGTCCAGGTAGCCAAAGATTCAGCAAATGTATTTTCGGAACACTGCATTCAGACTTGTTCCCTCTTGACRATCTACAACATGACTTATAATGTCCATACAGAATTTCTTTTTATTTTATTCTGAATTGGCTTTCACATGGATACTATTAAATATATATCAGATGCCAAGGTGATACAAAATAGACTAGAAAAAAGGTATGGAATTCTTAAGAAAGAGAAAGTACTTTGTCAAGRAGGCAGTAGCATTTCAGGGAAATATAACTAATGTGCAGAAGAACTGAAAGTTTGAGAGTTGTTTTTCTTTGCATTAAAAAATAAATTTGACACAAATGATATTGAAAGCGGAGGATATGCTCATATGATGGAAATGTGTTATTCAAGAAGAGGATGTGTGAAAAAGAACAGTGCAAAAAGCACTGCTGGTGTGTTGTGTGTGGAGCATCTAAGGGAGTAAAACAGAGTAAGCTGCAAACCTCTGAATGTTTTGGAGAGGGATTGAACCTCTCTCTCTCCTGTCTTTTGTAACTATACAGTATCAAATTGCCACTGCTTGCCAAGGACCTGGTACTGATCAGGATCGATTTTATGTAAAAGGAAGGAGCCACGTTTGAGGTTACACAGATATCCCATGGGATGACTGACCTTAGAATCACTGTAAAATCTCCGTACTTTAAAATACCATTGTTTCAGATTCCAAAGTATAATTTGAAACATTTTTGAGGAAAATTTGGTCTCTCAGCTAGGATTTCACATTTGCTTTTCATTCCCCCCACAGTGAGTGGGGGAAGTTCTTGGTTAAATTCCTGTATAGCTGTGTACATTGAAGATGAGGATACAGATTTGACTGTTTCACCTTCACAGAATACTAAGGGTTGAATAATTTTAATTGGGGGAAAAAATGAACATGTTGACTATGTAGAATAATTATATTTATCTCTTGTTTTTGCCAGTTCAAATAGTCCAAATTTTCCACTCTTGCAACTGTACCTGTCTCGTTTCCAGACCTTTCCTTGCCTTTCACCAAAATAAAGAGAAGTAAAACTGGTTTGAGATTTTTTTTTTTTTATTTTTTTAAGTGCAGTTCAGGAGGTATTAATCTCTGATTTTATTTTTGAAATAAGCTTTTTATCTTTTAAATTAGTACGTATTATTCCTAACATACACTTAGGCTAAGTAGGATGCCTGTGCCAGTGCATGGAAGAATTGCTTGCAGAAATGAGAAACACATGAGCCCAGCTTGTTACAGAAATCTTTGAGCTATGTGGAGAGACTGGCTTTTTCTATTATCACAGTGCTAAGGCAGTAACATATGAGCCATAGAAATTCAGTGACATGGCTGGATTCCTTCCTCTTGTTCCCTGGCTCACTCCTCCCTCAGACTTTTGCTGTTTTTCTTGATGGGCAGAATACAGGGATGTGATTTACTCTCCTGGCTAATCTTGGTGCAATTTTTAATATAACCTGAGGCTGATGGCARTGTTTTATCTTCACAGCAATTTCCGATTCTTGATGATTGCTTTAGCCTATGCGATACCACTGGGTGTTTTCTCTGGCTGGTCTGGYGTTCTGGATTTGATATTAACACCCATTCATGTAAGCCAAGTAAGTATCTCCTGACTGATAATCAGCAGCTGTTTAGTAAGTGACATGWTTTTATTTTGCACTAGCATGCAGTTTTATCCAGTTTTTATATTTTACRTGTTGTTAATACATATGGACCACTTTGCTCCTTGAAATTTTAAACAAAATGAACTGTAGCTTTGGCATCCCAGACTGTCACAATTCCCCCTGCTGACTCTCCATCAATGGTGAGTGTTTTCAGAGCTGTACACACCTTTTGACAAGAAGGAAGAAGTAGGTAAACAAATGGGAATATTGTTGGCTGCTGCATCTCYAGTGAAAGAAAATAATGTGTGCCTGGTGGAAAAGATGAAGTGGGKAGAAGATGATTTCTAAGCTTTTGATAGCGTATTATAAAAAAAACAGAGGACATTACTCAGATTCCATAAAGAGAGGTCACATTTAGGGCATAGACTACTTAGTCATACTTCCTTGTAGTGAATTTATTTTCTTTCCTAGAAAAAGCCTTGCTCTTCAGATTGTTGTAGAGAGCTGTTGTAGCATTTTGCCGCTTCTGCGTAACATTTGTTTTGAGAGTAACATCATTTTATTTTCTCAGCTTTAACACATTTCTCTGTGTCTTGTTTTGTTTTTTTTTTCCTGTCAGGTGGACGCAGGCTGGATTGGATTTTGGTCTATAGTTGGAGGTTGTGTTGTTGGCATAGCAATGGCAAGGTAGGAATAATTACAGGTCCTTCTCCATTTCTTCAACTGTGATTATCATGTAGTTTGTAYCCTTGATAACAGAACTTGTTTTCTCTCATCTTCTAGAAACTTGAAATGAAAAATTCATTCTGGGGTTATAATGTGTTTTTAGTAAGTCAAAAATTTGTACCATGTAAGTGGTTGTTGGGGATTGAGAACTCCACATGCCTATGCCTGAATTTGGAAGTCAGACAGTCAGCTTCCTGTATGCTTTTAAAGATGGCTCTGGTGAATTCCTGTTATGAGGGAGAACCTCATTGTAGCACATTTGGAAAACATTGAAGAAATTATCATCTGTCTCCTTCCATCAACACTTTTTGGGCATATTGATTCCAAAAGGGATATAGGGAATATAGCACAGGCAGCCTACCTACAATTACATTGAGTTCCTCCACAGAGAGATTATTCTGGGCCCATTTTGGGCAGTTGCTGGATTCCTGCATAGCCCAATTATTTTCAGCTGTATCCTATGGGCTACARGATGGGTGTACCTATGCTTTTATAAATCCAAACAGCTCTCTCTGGCCAGTGCTGATGACATGGGGAGTGGAGCTGTAAGAAGTCGATTGCCCTTCCAAAAAATTACTGTTTTTTCTTCATTGAGGTCCTCTTTAGGAAAAGGGATGGGATAAGGGAGGAAAAATCTTTCAGGATTTACCTGAGCAGTGAGTTTATAAAACTGGTTACCGCTAATCGCATGTTCCCCTTGCTTTGGGATATYTGAGTATTGTCCTGGATTCTCTATGTCTACTCTTTGGACTCSAGTTCTGCAATGAGTTTAGCACAAGTGCAGATATCTGTAATTGTTGCATCATTGTGSGATTGTGGCTAGAGAGAGATCGTTTTGGGACAGAAACTGAAACTCTCTTTTTTTCACTTGCTGTGCTTCATGAGAGTACACAATGCATAAAGAAATGTTAGGTTTCACATCCTGACATTTTGCAGGCTGCCTAGCAACTGCAACAGGGAGAGGGAAAAGCTCCTGACCTAGGGGAAAAGAAACAAGCGCTTCTCTCCCATCCACTCCAGATGCAGGCCAAAGGACTTCATCTAGCCAAACAAAGTTCATGCCCTGATTTCCTCTAAAAGGCGGTGCTTTTGATTAGCTAAGCTCAGATGCAATGTTTTCTCTGTAAGAGAATAGAAGTTTAAAAGCAGCTGTTGTGAATGACACAGGTGCTATAGGTTGCATGCTGAAGCAGGTAGAGTGTTTTAATCTTTTCCATCTTGAATTGATCTCTAGTGTATATGCAACATTTCAATAGTAGAGAGGCACAGTTAGCAGCTCACTTAACTTTGTTAGGAGAGAATCTGCAGACTCTATGCCAACATGCAAATCTCAGTCTTTGTCATAGATTAATTTATTTAATATATTGCCCGGGTTAAGTTTCAGGAAATGCTGGCAGTCCCTTTAACTGCTTCAAAATTGATTTCAAACCTTGTCAAGTACCTGTATTTTGTGGCATCTAGTAAATTTTAAAAATACCAACAGTCTGTCTCCAAATATGTCTTTCTAACTTGGGCGATACACAGTCCAAATGGGAGGGTTTGCATACAGAAAGGGAGGGAGGAGGTGATTTGTCACTTCTGATGGATGACTCTCCCTCCTAGGCCTATTCAGCATTTATCTGTGTAGGGTTGAATCAATGACGAGTCTGACTGTAATCTGCTGAAAGTTGTAATTAGGAAAATTAAGTAATGATTCTTGTCAAAGCTGACAAGTTGATATATTTCAGTGTCAGAACTGTGATTTTCCAAGCAAGCAGCTCTCTCCCTTAACCACCTCTCAAGAAACTGTTAGTTTAGGGGTGGGTTTTTCCCCTTTTTTTTTTTTCTGCTAATTTGTGAAAGCAAAATTGGTGCAGCTTAGGAATGTGCTCTTTCCATTTTTGTCAGTGCAGATTCTATAATSTAGAATTTTTAGCAACATGAGCCTTGCCCTAGAGCATTAGGTCCTGTACATCACGGTAGGTGTTAAATCACCTGTATTTAAAGTAGTGTCCAGTTTGGAAGTTTGTTTTTCTATCTCATTTTCAAAATGGTGCAAGTGTTCCAYAGCATTATACATAAATCCTTCTGCTCTTCACCCACTGCTGTCGTGATAGCCATGAACTTACATGTTTAGCTAATGTGTTTGATGCATTTTTATAATTGAAAAGCCTAGCCTATTTTGGGCAGCTGGTGGGTGCTGTAGCCTTTGCTGGCAGCTTTCAAATGCTACTGGTTTGGAGAAAAGCAGTGTCAAAGAGCAGCATTCATATCATTGGATGGAAACATAAATCTATTCCGTTTTCTCCAGGCTTTTTTTTTTTTCTTTCATTTTTTTTCTCCACGTTTCCAAAGGATCATAGATATTTCTGAGGTTTTGTCCTCTGCAGCTCAGTTTCGGTTTCTGCTTCTAACCTGCAGTGTAGTCAGCATGCTKAAACTTTTTGGCGTGGTGATAATTTCCTTAGCAACAGACAGTGTTGTCAGCAGTGCAGGTTTGTGATTTTAACTGTAGGATACAGCCTGGGGGAGGATGTGCTGGGATGCTGAAGCCTCTCACCAGCAGTAGGCTCAGAGCTCTGTGTCTGGCAAAKCATTCCCCTTCTCTCCTGTTGTGCCTGCTTCTTTAGCAGCTGCAGACAATCCCGAACATGCTAGATGATGAAGAAATATTTAAAAASAGCWAAGGTMTTGAAATCAAAAATAGGGTTTGAGGATTAAAGCAATTGCTCATGTTTTTTGATTGAAACAAATATTCWGRGGAGTTGAYTAGATTTGCAGTCTTTATTCTCCCYTAACCAGACAAGAAACAGAAGTTCTCCAATTACCAAGTTCAGGCCTGGTTGCTKTGTTGTTTTTTCCCATTATTTCTGTTGCTGGCAGAATCCAGTAGCTGCATAAACCTTTACCTTTGGGGTACATTTAACYTTTTGGAATTCTGTGATATCTGAGAGCTCTTTGGAGTACACTGCTACCCGAACTGGGATCTTTGTGTCAAAAAGAGTTGCAAAGAGGTAGATAGCTTCTTCACTTTGCTGTCACTAGTAGCTTAGATGATTCTAATTCTCCCATCTTCACATACCCCTGGTGGTGGGATAGAGATACAGGATCACCTAGAGATCATCCCCAGACCTGCTGTCTGTGAATGTCCCTCCCAGAAGGTATTTCTCACATTGTTTCATTAGTCAGGATCTACGTCACTGCCCTTGCCTGTAAGGACAGAGAATAGTGGTGTTGTCTGCTAGCAGGAAAATAGGGAGTCTCTGTGGAATAACCTGAAAATTTACACTTCGAGATGCTTCTGCAAAGCTTTTAAAATTGCTGATTTTGACCCTGRTGATCCCAAAGAATAATTAAAGAAACTGGCAAACCAGTGAGGTGATCCTGACTCCTCGATTGGATTGTGAGAAAAAGCCCCACCGGTAGCAGCCGACCYCTGGCTATTGGAGATGAATGCATAAGGCACTTGAACACTGTGGTCATAAACTTCTCAGATTATATGCAGCAGTGATCTCCCACCACTGCTTATTGAATTACTCACTACTAAATTCAATGCAGAATTAAAGCATGGGGAGAATCAAAGTAAGAGGAAAGAAGTTGGTTTGGGGGAGCGGAGAGAGAGTTTCACTGCATTACTCCTACATCTCTTATGGTATATGTGGAAGTTCTGAWAATTTCAGTAGCATTATCTGTTTTATCAAGTAAGCTATAAGGCATCTGCCTGTAGGATGATCTTTAGCTGGGCAGAGAAGGCAGTTAGCTGATGGGCAGACAAATTTCCTCATGGACCAAACTAGGTGGATTATGCTACTATTAACCTAATCAAGGTAGGAGGCTGTGGGGGCAGAAGATATGCTTTAGAAATRCATACCAAACCTGTCCATCCCAAAATCACATCTCCTGAGCAGAAGATTATCGAAAATTACTCATGAATAAATGACATTGCCTTTTCTAATATCTCTTTTTCAGCAGTTAGGTTGACATCCCCTTTGAAAAGAGCAGTTGCACTGATAATTATGCCACACGAACACTGCTCAAATGCATTCTGTCTCCTTGAAAGAAAAAGGAAAAAAAGATGAAAAAAGCAATTGTTCCATCAGGTGGTATTAGTATCGAAATTCCCCCTGTGTAACAGCCAGATTGCCCAAGGAATTGTGGGGCTCTCCTCCCCCAGGCTGTCCATGGGGTCTGTGTAGGAGTAGCACCAAGCCTGTGGTTTCTGGAAGTTTTCAACCCAAAACAGCCACTGGCAGAATGACCCCCTTGGCAAAGAGGTCTTCCCTTGCCTAAGCCACCATGAGCTTCATCACCAGTGCATCCAAGGATTCAGAAGCTATTCCTTGTCATCTTCAACTAAGGATTCTTTGGAATTTTTGGARTTTTTCCATTTCCCACAGGAATGAATCTTGACACTTAACTATGTCTTGAATGAAAAGCGGCAGCCTCCTCATATGCTAATGGAGCTGTGAGTCTGCCAAGGGAGACTGGCAAACACTGACAAAACAGCAGTAGAAGTAGTGGTGTGATATTGTGTCCAACAAATGCAAGAAGAAAAAAAAACTTTCCTCCAAGTGTTTTCATTTGATGCCTTGAGAATTACTTAAGAATTGTTGTGGTTTGGTTGTTGTTTCGTGACAGCTAAAAAGTCCATGGCTCTTCAGCTTGACAGCTAGAAATAACACCATTCTATAATTTTTTTTTTCTATTTCTGAAAATGAGAAATTACTTTTAAATAGTTTTTATAGCCTCCAAGATGTTTAATGAGAATATGCTGAATTAATTGTCAAGCATCACATTTAAAAAATATGAAAATTGGGATTTGTACTGCTCTGATGTGTGCTTTTATTTCAGATTTGCAGATTTTATCAGGGGCATGCTGAAGTTCATACTGCTACTGCTTTTATCTGGAGCAACATTAGCATCAACCTGGTTCACTCTCACCTGTCTAACTACTGTCACTCATCTGCCTTTAACAACAGGTATCGACAATTATTTTTATTCCTATTCTTTATAATAGATACTGCTGGCAAATATTTGCAGTCTTCACTCAACTGTCTCATAAGCTGGTTTGGTATCTTTAGTAACACAGTCGTTTTACTTAGACAAAAAAAAAAAAACATTTAGAAAGTCTGTTGAATCTGAACTACCTTCACTGGCTTTGAATAACTTCATTAAAAGATTAAAAACTTTGAAAACCTAGTAAGAACCCCAAATACACATTTAAATTTGATTTGGAGACTAAGCATTTTTCTGTTTTGAGTCCTTTGGAATAATCGTGGAAATAAATCAAGAAAAATCAGATGAATGAGAGTAGTGTAGCATGTAAGAAACAGTGACATGTCTGGGAATTTAGGGGTTTAAAACTTACATTAGTTATTGGAAACATGTGGTGCATTTCAAACCAAGGTGACCCATGGTGTTTTCAGCCATCTAAATCTGTCCCTGCACAGTGCTGTCCTCTGTTTTTGCACCTGCATGCAGGTTCAGGGAACTCTTCCAGCCCAAAATTAACTCAGCCTGCACCTCAAAAAGACAGGGAAAAAAAACTGTTGGCAGGAGTGGGTAGCTCAGAGGTGTAGTCAGGCTGCCAGCGGGCTGGACCCTTAGTTGAAAGCTGGTGCTGCTTAGTTCTTAAAAATCTGCCTTTACCTTATTATCTGCACCAAAGGACTGATCCACCTGTGATTCCAAGACCTTCAACAGAGTAATGAGTTACAGAAAAACATGAGTCATCAAGATTCAAAATTATATTTATTTGGTAAAGAATTCTGTAAATCCATTTTAAATAAAGTGCCGTCTTTGTTACAGGCAATTTATGCATTCTGGGTGAAACAAAAACTTTTCTTGCCCATTTTTAATAAAAGAGTTTGGTGTAGAGAGTAGTATATAGAGTACTGTTTTACTCCAATTAACTTTGAATTTCGGTAAGTGTCCTTGGTGCACTGCAAATGTCACAACTATAAACTAAAGTGGGTACAGCAAATTGAAATACATGATCAATTCAGGAGCAACACCATCTGGATGGATAGGTCAAATTTGTGCTTTATCTTGAAATTTCAATGCTTTCAAAAAATTCTGCTTAAATAAAACGTAATTTAATCAATAAATAAATCAAATTTCATGATGGCTGTTGTCATACTAAATGATTACACTTTTCCATCAAATCTAAAATAAATGAAATAAAAGTCTCGTGCTTGCCTGCTTCATCATTACAAGCCTGCAGTAATGTAAATTCTTACAGTAACTCTRTCTGCTGAATTGATGTAACAACCCAAACACATAAATGACCCTTCAAGTCTATGCATAAGAATGAAGCAGAAACATTTCAAGAGGGGAAAGTCATTACGTGTGTACTCTCCTTGCAAAACAAAACTGATAGAGCTCTCTCTGATTTTATTTTATTGGGTTTTTCATAAAAAATTCAACACGGAACAGGTTCTATAAGAATTCCTATTTGTTTGTCACATGTAGGTGCATTGCGCTGCTTTTTTTGGAAAAATTAAGCACTGTCAGGACATAAAAGTATATAGGGTATTTGAGGTTTGATAAATAGTATCCTAAACTGGCATCCCTTGATTCAAATACAGGGATTGGGTTGTACCTYACATGCAATTATTATTTCTCTTAAAATGGATGATTCCTTAGATTAAGTTGTAATTATATGTCAGAGTTTTCTGTCAGTGCTGTTCTTATATATGTCACTGTAAATATTGAACCCCTTTTCTTGAAAACAAAAGCTTGTTTTGAATAGAAGTGCCAGGAATGTGGTGCATTCCTCAAAACAAAAAAGCAATCTAAAGCATCAGAGTCTAATGTGCAGCCAGAAAATAAGATCTCTTTGTGTTTTCTGTTTAAATTTCATAGATACGCAGTGGGGGAAGGTTCATATCAAGCTTTTCTCATTAAAGTTCATMTAAAATAGATGTAATGTGCCTGTTCAATTTAGTTCCTTGTACACAGAAAAGCAGTGGTATATCTTTATGAAATATACTGTTATGGATGAAAACACACAAGCTATTTAAGCTAATTTATAGGACTTCATGCTAGATTATTCCTCAACGTAATGATGCAATATGATGATGACCTCTGCATTCACAGTAATTGGGAGAAACGGTACATTTGAATTGATTTGGGTGAACTTCCTTTTTTCTTTTCCTTTTAATTAAAAGTTTGAAATGTAGAGTGTATCAGAGTACGGATGKAGGAGGTCAAATGCAGGCCGTGGGCTGGCAGCTTTTGGAAGTGATCAGTGGTAGCTGGTAAAGGTGGAAGTCACTTTGCATTTCAGTGGACCAGTGTTGACAGTGGACTGCCAGGGAGTTATTCTGTGTGTGTTTTTTGTAGAGTTGGAAGATGTGCAAAACAAAAGCAGACATCATTGTGGGGCTTTTCCCTCATTAATCACTTTTTTAAGTCTACTTTTTCTTCTGGTTTTCTCTTTTTTCCTTTTTTTTCCCTTCCATTTTTTTTTCTTGCCCCAGAAAKGTTCCCTAATATCCATTATCACTTTGCAGGCAGCTCTGGACACCTGCTGCCAGGCAGGGATGGTTGTGTTATTGAAGGCAGCAGGTTTTGATGGTGCCTGAAGGTTCGTAGGCTCCTCCACTTCCTCCTGTCCTGTGGCAAAGAGCACAAGAGTTGGGCTTGGCAGTGCTACAGAGCCAGTGATGGAGATCAATCCACACTTTCAGCCTTATTCAAATGCTGAGGGAGAGCAAGCAGGGTTCAAAACTGACATGGAAACTTGTGGGGGTGTACATTTGATCTTCCAAAGAGCTTTTCCCTTCCAACCGTGTAGCTCCTATTTTGGGAGGGACATCCCCCTCCTCTCTTGGCCTGCCTCCAGCATTGTTCTTTTGGACAAGTCAGACTTTGCCCTGCAAAACCCAAGCATTGCCATCTTCAGCAATACCTGGAAACTGTTRAAATACCCACATGATCTGAAGGATGGCTCCAGAGCAAGCAGTTGGTGGATATGTTTTTATGGAAACACAAAAAAAGGGAGAGTTTGGCCAATTATTCACCCTAAAAAAAAATCCTAAATATTTGTTTGTAAAATACAAACAAACCAAGCCCCACTTTTAATTGGTGTTCTTTGTAGCAGTTCTAGTAAAGAGGGAGGGAAGGTATTTGAAAAAATGTTCACAGCAAAATTTATTTTCCTGACCTTGTTTGTATAATATTCTCCTAATTTCTTTTAAATAGGTACAACATCATTCAAAGATATTTCCTACAAAATGTAATTACTTAGAATGGAGACCTTTAATGCAGATATTAAAAATCAATGACTGCATTCGTGGTTTCTTTTAAATTATACTGTTTAGCATTGTTTGTATTGAGTAATGCCTGCATTGCTTTGTATTTGCATAATATGCTCCATTTTTCCTCCTCCCATGGAGAAAGACCAGTTTTCTGTCATTYGCTGACTTCTTAATGTAACTCCAAAAGATTTTATTAAAAGTGTATTCAGAGTCATAAATATGAACTATATCAGCCAGTGTGGGGAAAAGAGAAAGCGAGGCAATAATGATCAGTGCCATAGCTACTATATCATCTGTCTGAAACACCTCTCATCAGCTAATCACAGCTCTCCAAAAACCTTGATTCTGGAATTGGTTTATATTTTAAGCAAGCCTGAATTTTATTTTAAGAAATTTTAATTTTAATGTATATTATTTGCATTTCAGTTTAAAAGACAATTTTTTGTACACATTGAGCATTAAAATTATTTTCTCCATTGAATTCCCTGTGCAGCTGCTGATCTGTTTCTCTGTGCCAAGTTCATTGTTAGTTTGCTTTGTACTGAACTTCATTATGTGAATTTATGTACAATGGGATACTTCGACCCAAAATAATTGTGTAAGGCATTGTATTGCCAGTTTCAGTATCTTGCCACTTTGTATTGCTGGTAGTGTCTCTGGATACAAATACTAGCATTTTCCAAAAATTGGTATGCAACACTAGTTGCTCGCAGCTCAGATTGAATGTTTTCAGCATAGCATATCAAGAATATTCTAATATTTATGAGCACATTCAGTAGAAGTTTGCTTTACAAAATCTTTYCTAGTGCTGCATGGCAGACACTGAATACAGTGGCAGCTCCATAAGTTGATGACTATATTTAGGTTAAGCAGCCTAGACTTTTATGTTCAGGTTCAACAGATTGAGCATTATAAACACATCTGTCTCTCTGTCCTCATCTACAAAGCMCAGTATTGAAAAAGAGAGGTCTTAATTATATAATACTGATTGGTTTATTTTTTCAGTTTAATTTCTTTACCGTAAATAAGATGTTCTTGGTAAGTGTAAGGCAGAGGTACCCAGAGGATAAAACATTGGCCTGAAAACATTAACCTGCTTAGGGCTGTGGGCAAATCATTACCTCCTCTCCTGCTGTGCTTTTCCCACTCATAGGATGGGAATGATGACATTTGTTTTGCTGACAACTTCTTTAACTTCACAGATAGAAGAGTGCTTAAAGAAGAAATAATTTAGGGAAGTTATTTTGTTTTAAAAAACAGTGTCAAATAGTATACAGTGCTTGAAATTTGGGAGGAGCATTTCAGGGATGAATATCTATGAATTTGGCCACTTTAAATGTCTGCCAATAGCAAACCTCAAATATTGTACGATTTCCAGCCCTCTTGTCTTTCATTTCTGGAGCCTTACTTGGTAAATTTTTCAATTCTTAGTTCTCCAAACTGAATGCTCTGCTTTCAAAGCAAGTTATACTTACGTTTCTCATGAGAAGAATATAGAACAAATCAAATTTGATCAGGTTTTTGGTTACTTTCAAAACTATATCGTGAGATAGCAATTTGATCAGTGCGTGCTGGAATGGAAATCCAGGCAATGAAACATATTGATGTTATAAATGTGCACTACAGAGACATCTTTCTTCTATTGTGTTTTTTCATTCCAATAAATGAATTACAGTAAATTTTACGGTTTTACCTTGAGGGAGTCACATTTCTCATGGAAAAATTTAAGGGGTACTTCTTCCATGACTTTCCTTAGCAGTAGCAAGAGTTAGATTATAGGGAGGTTTCATTCTACTTTAACTGACTTTAGATTTTGGCAGGAGCTAACTTTGAATTGTTCAAATTGGTCATGGGGATACTGAAGCACTAAAGTCAACAAAGCCTATATCCACATGAGACATTATCCTTTCACTTTGATGTTTGGGATACAGTTATATTRGGCAATAACAAAGTGCCCTAGATCTCTGTAGGTTTTGCTTTAAATTGTGTGCTGTTCCCAAGAGAATATTCCATTGTATTTACTCTCCTGTTTATCTATATAAAATTTGTGTGAGTTTTGGCTGAGTGTGTCTCAGAAGAGAACTGTTACAAAATGTAGAGTTCAAGARATTCTGGCACAGGACTTTGGAAGGAGATACTGTACCACTTGCTTGCACTTGATCCAGCATTTCCTGTGTAAATTTATCTGAAAACTATTTTTTTTTAAAGAAATTACAATATTTGATATTTGTTATTAAAAATCAGCCAAGATACATGTGCCAGTGGTTGATAAGAGCTAGTCACATCAGTTGAGTTCTTTCCATCAATTTCATTTGGTTTGGATCAGGCTCTGTAGTTGTACATTTAGTGATGGTATAATTYAAGAGTAAATTGCTAAACATGTTGCAGAACATCCTGGAAAGTTCTGGGAAATTGTTTGGATGTCAGAGATACTTGATTCTCCTTCTGCTGCATTGCAGGCTCATCTGAGGACACCAAGTGAAGGCTGTCATTTAAATCACTTCCCTGTTTGAATTCCTAACTTCTCCCCCTTCCCCCTCCTTTTTTTTTTTTTTAATTGGTATGAAGCTTTTGCCACAGCTTGTGATTGGGAGAAAATCTTTTTCTGGGATACAGGCATGTATTTGACACCCAGTAGCTGAAGGCCTGTAGGAGTTAAGAAGCCAGGCAGGAACCTTCCTTCTTGCCACTTTTTCTCCCTTTGTGCTAARCCACTGTATCACATCAATCCTAAGTCTGTACCTTGCTTCACTAACTGCTAACATCTCTGGTGCCTTTTTCAAGGCACGTTTTATTCCYTGCTTCCTTCCTGGCCTGGAGAATGAGTGCTGAGGGAATAGCAAGGGTTACCTCATACCTCTAGCGTGAACATGACATGGTGAAACATGGCTTGAGCCTCCTGCTGCAGCARCTCCTGGCCAGTTCTCTGAAACAGCTGTGCTTTGGATGGATGCTCTGCCTTTCCTGATCCTTTTGCAGTGGCCAGCCTGAGAAATAGATCCTTAATGCACACAAACATATTTTGAACTATTTCACTTAATATTATGTTTTAAGAAACCTAGCCAGTTCTATTGTTGATGTTGATAGCTGCCACTGTCTTGGACACACAACTTTGCACATAACTTCAGTGGCAATCAATTCCTTTTCCTAAGAAAAGGTGACATTTTTTTTATGCTAGTAGCATGACACACTTCACCAGTGTATGCCTATCCAAGTTAGCTGTTATTCTTTAGGACATAATGTTAGCTTCTTGGTGAATCATCTTCTATTTTTTTTTTGTCAGTACTTTCACATCCTTATATTCATTTCCAATGACTGTCATTAAGATTGTCTTAATTGAAAGAACATTTGCTGTAACTTCAGCATCTGTTCTGCAGTATAAAATCATGGTAATTGTTCGTGTTCATTCAGTGCAAGGTCCCTGTGATGGAAAGCAAATGGTCCCTGTTAATAGGTGGTATCTTCCTGCTATTCTGTCACAAGCTGGAATGTGAGATACGCTATTTAGTGTGTGAAATAAAAAGCAAAAGCCTCTTTTGAACTCTGATTTTACTTCTTTCTGTGACTTAYTTTTCTGAAACTGCATATCTTGTCTTTGAGTCCCTTCTAGTTGACCAGTTGGATTTGTGACTTAGTTGCCAAGTTAGTGGAATAACTRTTCCAAATAACTTACTTTTATAGCATTCAGGATAACCCTGGGAGATGCATGAAATAAAAAACAGTTTCCCATCACTACAATATATACCAATTAAAGAAGGCTTTCAGATGTGCACGTCTTCATTTTCAGAGCTTCTTTTTGTGGTTTCCCAGTTAAAAGCTATCATTTTCATTAGTTGTTAGAGCTTAAATAGGCATCTACTGGAATGCTACATCCTGTGTGTCCTTTTGCTGTGACATTTCTGCTTATTAATTCTGAATATGTGTGTAGCTGTACCTCTGCATAGACCTTGTTTTATCAGTGTTAGCTGTGATCTCAGCTGAGGTGCTGTCACTGGTRTTCAGCTGGCAGTTCTTGGTGTGCACACACAAGGCAGGCAATACTTTGGGRCAGCCAAAGGGTGATGCTGAAGCTGCTTTTCTCCTCATAGTGTGGAAATGTGAGGCGTGTGCCAGTGGGTGTGTTTGTGTGAGTGTTGTGACAAGGAATTGTGAAGGTGTTGTTTCTAAGGTACAAAGTTCCTGCCCTTGTTCACTTGTGGTCTGGTCATCTTAACRTGTTTTAGTGAGTGGTGAGCAATGACGTAATTCAACTGGCATATTTTAAACTAACAAATCTAGTTTGAAGGCTTTTGTTTTATGGAAACCTTGGCACCTAGTGTACTAAATAAAATTTGAAGTCTTGATCTTTAAATGGCTGTTAATTTTTGCCCTCATCTCAGTGACTCTGTTTCTAGAAATTACACGTCTAGACATTGTCTCTGTTCAGAGGCATGATTTCCATTTCCTGGCTGTTGCTCTTTATGGAAGATGTTTCAGCCTTCTTGCAGAGGTGTTGCTTCTGACACTCTGTTCATTGCTTCACTTTTGATGGTGCCGTTGTGGCTTTCAGCAGCTTCTCAACTATTTCCACTGAGTTTCTGAGACAGAATTACAGCTGGCTGTGATTTTCTCTTCTTTGGGGAGGTTCTGAAAATGTTCTCTAGGAGTTACAAGTAGTTATAGCCATCTTCAACTGAGTGTAATAAGGGGCAGATGTTAATTTGTCTGAAGAGAGTCTTCTGTTTCATTTATGTGTTGGTTTCTCAAGCCAATACAAAAATTTCAAACCACTGAGTGTGTTTGGGTATTCTGGCTACACCCGATAGCAGTTAGAGAGACGTAGAGCAATATGCAGCAGTGTTTGAGGTAAATGGGAGTTCAAAGAGTGGCTCATGAAATTTTAAATACTGGTGAGGACTTGCAGCAAAAATATATTGATCTTTTAACTAGGGAATCAGGTCTTCAGTRTTAGCTAGRGGAGCSCATTGGGAAGAACATCCTAATACTRATTGGGTTTTTTTCTTTCCTCTCTGACAGCTCCTGGACATGCATTGCATCAATTTCTTTCATTTATTCTGCAGTTTATGACAGGAGAATTTAAGTGTTGGCAAAGTTGCCACGGTTTTCTTGAGAGGGTTGGTTTTGTTTGTTTGTGTGTGTTTGTTTGTTTTTCTTAACAGCTCAGAGTATTGTGTGTATTCAAAAAAGCAGGGGCCAGCTCTCCCTCCTTTTTCCTGTCCAGACAAGTCCTCTTCAGAGAAAGAAATATGTCTTTGTGCCTAGGAAGCAAACCACATGAAACAAAAGGATCTGACAGATAGCCCTTTCTGCTTCTTAACGCCTTTATTTATTTTCCATTATTCTTCTTATTTTACAAAGCTGATTTTTAAAATTCTGTTTTGAAGCTGAACATTTCCTGCTTCCTAAAAGTTTCTCAGTTGAAAGTTTGAGCAGGGCGTAATAGAAGATGAAGCAGAGTTGTTTCAGTTCTTCGCTTTCTAAGACAAAAGTGTGTTAATTAAACTGAAATATTTACACWGATCTGTATTTATATGAAAAAGAATTTCTAATAATTTTGTACCACATAATCTTTTCACTGCAGTGAAAAGATGCTCTAAATAATTTACCTGTGACTTCGTAACACTTATGTATCTGAATTTTTTTTCTTTAGGCTTTCTTATTATTTTGGTGGGAACCTCAGAAATTATTCCAGAGTTTTCTGGCTATTTCAAGCCTTATAATAATTTCCTTCTTCTTTTTACTTGGTCAGTAACCTTGGATTGTTAAGGTTGCAGGTCAGAAAATCTTCTGTGTCCAAGGCAGCACAAAGAAAAAACATATCTAAATTTCTAAATAGGTACTAAATTTTTGTGAAGTTTCATGGCCTTTTTTTTTTGTCTAGGAATTTCTGTAATGCATTTATTAAATTTTTATATAGGTATATTAAGCTTCTGTATTAAATACTGTGAAGTATTTGGCAGTGTTAGGAATTGTAGAACAAAATAGCTGAAGCTACTGAAGAAATGTCACGTTCTTCTGTTGGTTTGTCCAAGAAAAACAATTTGTCGTACAGCAGCGAATAATCTGCATTATCAAATCTGTCCCGTTCCTGTCAGGAGCCGGTGCCCTTCATTTCCTTTTGAAGCCAGAAGGGATTCAACATGTTGCAGCTCAGGCTGTGCTGAATACTAATGTCTTGATAGCTGGTAGATCATTAGTATTTATTTGTAAAATGGAAGCAAAATTGGTTTTGACCTTTAGAGCTAAGTCAAAAGGTTAATCCATGTCCATTTCCAATTTGGTGCATTAATTGCTCCCTGGCCTAATTGTGTGTAGGACAATATTTTCTTTTTGTTTCAGAGGTAAATCAAACTGTAGGTGATGCTTTGCATTCATAATTTTGTTGTTTGTTTTACTTACAAGTGAAGTCCAAATCACTGAATGTATCTTCATGGATTCTGTTTAAATAAATAGATAAATAAATCTGTATTTCTGATTTGTTTTTCCACAAATCAATGCATGCTTTCTGCCTAAAGCTAGTGGGATGTGATGTTCTTTGTGATACACAGAGGATAAAAATAAGTTTATGCTTTTTTTTTGGTTATTCAGATATTAGTATTCTTGGCAGCTCTGAATAGGGGGGRAAAACACCAGCATGAAATTAATAACTGTTTTTGTTTCTGTCACAGCTACACTGTACACATCCTGCATTTTGCTGGGTATATTCCTCAACAGCAGTGTACCAATATTCTTTGAGCTCTTTGTGGAGACAGTCTACCCTGTTCCAGAAGGAATAAGCTGTGGAGTTGTCACCTTTTTGAGTAATGTGTTCATGGGAGTGCTTTTGTTTTTCCTCACATTTTACCATACAGGTAAGAAATGTAAGGCACTTGGAAAATTTAATTCTCCACAAGGRCATACCTTTGTCAGTAAAAGGGAGGGTTTGCACATATGATTTCTGTTAATAACCAAATGTTTSAATCCAAGCAGGGGCAGCAAGGAGGGAGAATTTTAAACGTTCTTTTCTCTATTCATGCTTTTAAAAATGAGATTACTTAGATGAAAGATACATTTTATTGAATTTGCTGTAGCTAGAAACCACCARAGTACACACTGTTGTCATATTTGATAAAGGCCTGGGTAAGRTGACCATTAATAATGTTTGTATCTRTGGGTGTTCAGAACCATGGTAAGGCTCACCCAATCTCATGGTTTTAGGTGTGTTGCCCAGGAGGGGCAGAGCAGAAATGCCCCATTGAAGGGCAGCTCTGTTCAGTGGGTCAGAGTTCTCCCTGTATTCCTGCCCACTGCTCAGAGACAGAAAAAGCATTCCTTTGGGTAGTCCTGTGGCCTAATCCAGCACCCCAGCATTTCGCTCAATCTTTTTGTCAATTTATTCAGAATTTCTCATCTCTCAAGYATTATTTGCTTCCTCCTAACTCGTAATCATAGCTTACAACTTGCTGTTTGGTAGACTGTAACACATATTATTACTCTAAGCTCTGAAATCAGAACCCAGCTTGCTTTCAAAGGGAAGTGATTTTTATTAATGGTTTTCAAAGATGCAGATTTTTTTCTTTATATTTTGTCATAATGGTAAACATTTGCTTCATGGTGAAATATTTGTAAAGTATTAGAAAATGTGAGCTTTTATGTATGATTATTTCTTAAGATGCGGCATTTTATAAATAAGAGGAGAGTGACAAGTTTSAGATTGAATTCTGCTAGAAATTACCAAAGTTTCAACCTGGGGCAGTTTTTCAGCACTGTTTGTCTTTCTGTTAGTAAATTGCAAGCCTTATCACAACCTTGTTCCAAATTGTGGTCTGTGAACATAAACAGAGAGAAATTATTTATTTTTTTTTAATACTGATGCTGAACTATATAGTTGTAAAATCTGAATGCCATCTGGGCTAGTCTTGGGTGTTGTGAGARCTAGTCTTTACATTTTAAAGTATTCTTTTGATATTAATTGGTGTGAATGGTGTTCAGACATACCATTGTTTCTGATRTCTGTGCCTGAGGTGGAAAGATGACACAGAATGTTCTGAGAAATTTTTCACTGTCTGGCATTACATGATAACTGAGGATGTGGATATGGCATCTCACTTCTGATGGAAGAATTGCCATAAAATGGCCTCATTCCATCATAAATAGGGTATTTAGGACCATTTTTTGTTTCTTGTATTTCTTTCCCTACCAGTAGAGATAGATAGATACCAGTAGGTGCAGGTAGATACCAGTAGAAACCAGTAGGTGCAGGTAAGGATAAATCTGAAATTGGTACCCATACACTTGAAATACTTTCCCTATTTCTTAAAAAGAAAAAAAAAGAAAGTAATTTGTGCTTAGGACAATCCATTCTTTGACAGGAAGTATGAGAGAGTGTGTGGTCACTGGGAGGGATCAGTGCCAGCGGGTGCTATTGGCTCCTCTGATTAAAAAACCYGTTAGAAGGTAGATAATGATCTTAATCATTTGCTTTCATTTGATTCAAATACATCTTCTAATGGCATTTAAGAAGCTTAAAGATAAATCAGAACTTGGTTAAATTCATCTTGTTCCCTTGGTCTTTCCTTTYAGGCCAAATAATCTTTCAGTAGTTTTCATTCCAATTTCTCTTTTTCTCCTTTACTGCTATTGCAAATGCTGTGAARGACCCAAACCCTGGAAGCTTTCCAGTGCACTGAAGATTTTGGTTCAGCTAGCAGAGTGAGGATGTAAACCTTCCTAAAGCTCAGCTTGCCTGCTAGTGCTATGCCCCAAAGCTGCAGCCTCTGGATGAGGTTTCCTTTGTTTTTCCTGCAGGGATTTCCAAGGGAAAAACAAAAGAAAACTGACCTTTGGCTTCATGCGATTGATGCGTTCCCTGCATCGCCAGTGCTGTCACAAATTCTGGATCAAAAAAGACATGAAGGATTCACAAGTTAAATTTTGTCTTTTAGGATATTTGAGTTGAAGTCTGTTTGATTCAATTAAGCAGAAATGTTATTAGGAAAATAATAGCAAAGCATTTGCCTAGTGACTTCTGGCATCACATAACTGTTGTCTCCAAGCCTAGGAAAATTTTACTKTGGTTTTAATAAACAAAATCCATAAGGGTTTCTGGTGGATCAGGGCTGGTGTTTTTGAAGGTTACTGGTTTTGGAAGGTTGATTTTTCAGGCTTTTTGACTGTTGTCCTTTGCATTGTTTRAAATGAATCATGCTTTTTCCTTCAGCAATAAAAATTACAGATTTAAGAAAGCAGCAGCCATGAGGCCTTGATTTTGATTAACTCAGATCTTGAGGGAGAGTTTAGATTCTGTAAAATTAGAGAAATAATAATAGCAGTAATAATAATGATGGTAATAATGGAAAATCTGAAAAAATAAGTAAAACTCTCTATCCAGTGAAATGAATGTTTCTTTGGTAAATGGCCACATTTCAAAAAAAATTKAAATTATATTGCACTTATTTGAAAAAAAACCTCTGATTAAACTGCTAATTATTAGTCAAATATCAGATGATAGGATTTCTTTATTATGGAATACAGGCTTTTAAGAGCAGAATGTTATGTTGAACAGCTGAAAAGAGGCTTTTGAGGACCTGTTTTTGCAATTAGTTTTAAATAGAATTGATCATATTACGCACAAGTTTCTTCTGARGAATTGGTTTTCCCTCCTTATACGATGTAGCAGGTTTGTTTCAAAATCAACCCCAGCTTCTTCCTGTGCTTTTAATTTTAGTTCTCAATCCATAGAAATCAAAGGACTAATGAGTAGAGTCTTTGGAAGTGGTTTATTCTCCATTAGCAATGATAGATTTTATTTTTCCCCCCATTCTCTTCATTGGCAGGTTGAATAAGGAGTATTTACGTTAGCTGGAGGCACTGGTTATAAATATATATAACTTAAGGTGTCCATGGAGAAGGCTCACAGACCATGTTAAGCATCGATCAATTGGGAGCTGTCAGGATTTTGTCAGAACACAGCAATTTCCTTCAAACCTGCCATCAGTCCATGTTTTGGTGTCTTTAGGCACAGAACATGTTTGCTAACTGAGGCTGGGTCTCTGCTCTGTTTTCCAGAGTTTTCCTGGTTCAACTGGTGCCTGCCAGGGTCGTGTCTGCTCAGCCTGCTCCTCATCCTGTGCTTCCGCGAGTCCTACGACAGACTCTATCTCGACGTCGTCGTCTCCGTGTGATCACACCGGACTGGTGAGGGCTTGGAAGAGACTGGAAGTTGGCTTTGCAGTCTGCACATCTGCCTGGAGTTGCACAGCTGAACAGCAGAAAAACAAAGAAATTTCAAGACTTTGGCTTTATTTAGAGAGGGTGAGGGATGGGTTGTTCTTATGTTCAAGACCATCTTGATCTGCCATAAATGTGGAACTGGAGTGGTGATGGTGACACCAAAATGCACAAAGAGAATCTCTCTGCTGTCCAGGTCCCTGTGCCAGGGCTGGGGCTCTCTGTTGAGGAGGCTGTTGGTGTAGCAGTGAGGTGTATGTTGTGTGTGTGTGTGTGTGTGTGTGCCTGTGTGCTGACTCACGGTTGTTCACACCAGGGTACCAGACGGAGTCTTCTATCAGAACAGAAATAGGGAATAATCTTAACAAAAGGAAAAAAATAAGAAAAGAAAACAAAAATCCTCAAGATCTCTTAAAAATCACTAGTCATTTATATATTGAATGTAAAAAAAAAAGGAAAAAAATAAGAAAAGAAAACAAAAATCCTCAAGATCTCTTAAAAATCACTAGTCATTTATATATTGAATGTCCATTAAACAGTTGAGCTAACATGATTTGGTTCATGTACACTACATTTACATTCTAATAAATTGAGTTCTGATATCAGACACTGGTACCAGGGGTTTTAGCCATACTAAATATCCCAAATAATCCTTGCAGTGTTATTAGAGGTGTTTGTTATCACCCTGGAGCACAAGTAAACAATAGCTTTAGCTGCCACTGAATCCCAGCGTGCACCCACAGTCATCTCTGAAATGCCACCATGGTTCCATATCTCCTGAATATGGAGCATCTGTAGTGTACTGGAGAGTCACTTTAGGTAAATGTTGCTGTTCTAAAGGCCCCCACTGTGTCACCTTTCCATCCTCCATCTCCAGTACTGCCTTTGTTTACTGTYTGTGCCACTGGATACTGTGGGTGTGGATATCTTGAGTCCTGCTAGTTCTCTCCTGATCTCTAAGGTGCGTGTGGTTTTTGGGATTAGTTTATAATTGAGGGTGCCTAAACAATATTGCTTGTAACTCAAGTCYTGAGAAATCACTGTTTCCTAAAAAATCCTTTCTAATTGAGGGGGTGCATTGATGGCGAAATGACAATGAGTTTGACAATGAGGAGTAACTCATGAGTTCTGGCATAATGTGGGAAATTAATGCCAGCTCTTTTTATCAGTACTAATCTGTGGTCGTTCTGGCCCTTACTTGAACATAAATATTAAAGACACTTTGAATAGTTTTTTAACTCAATTTTTAAACCTGCTAATAATTTCTTAATTATATTCTTAGATTTCAGTTCAGCATAATTTAAAATATTTCTGTGTGTGAGTGTTCTGTGTTTTGTGTTACAGGGGTGTGTTTGTGTGTGTGGGGGCGTGCATATTTATATCAATGTATACACAAATAAAACTTATATATATAAGAGATTCATATATATATATATATATAAGTTGTGCAAGGGTATGTGTTTCCCTAGGTTTTACTCCAAGTGATCCTGTCTGGGGAAGGGGATGTGCCCCTGTTTGTACCCAAGTCAGTCACTGCCATGCGTGGGGACATGTGTGGGGTCTGTGACAGGGGTTGTTTTCAGGGCTGAATGATTTCCTGTCATGGCACTTCCATGGCAGTGGGTGGGGGCACACTGAGGGGGCTGCTGTGCAGGGCTCTGCCTCTCTAGGACTTGAACCAAGGACCCTCTGCCCTTGTCTGGGACTCTTCTTTGCCCCTGGGGTGAGACCAACACTGTAAGYTCACTCAGATAAACCCAGAACTCCCCTTCCAACATGGATGTGTTCTTTCTGCCTGCTCTCCTTTTGCAGAAAGAATACACCTCTAATACTTATCTCAGGAGTATATCTGCAGTAAAATAAAACAAGTTGTTCCCTGCTTTTATGTTTTCAGAGCAATTGATGTACTTACTTACTGTAGTAACTGCAAACGGATTTAGCTCATTGCCTGTATCAGCTCTAAATGATCTTTCCTGTCTTGAGGCAGGCTCTTTGTGGCAGTGGAGGTAACCTGCACAGAGATAACTAAATCAGTCTAACCAGCACGTCCACATCCACTGGCATCATCCCCTTACTTTTCAGATGAATGTCTGAATGTGTTAACTGTCCAGCTTCTTTTTACTATGTTTTAGTGCCTGGAATAGTTCAGTATCCAGTCGCTGCTGCTACCTATTGTCTTCTGAAACCAAGGATCGCTTGCCAAGAGTCTGATTGGAGTTGCATTGTCACGGCAGAACTGCAAGCTCAGATGGCTCTTCAGAGCTCTGTTTCTGCAATTTACTGTAGCTATATAAAGATTGAAACTGCACAGCTCAGGCACTGTCCCGAGCAACAGAGATTTCTAATCCTTTCACTGTCCTGCTTATTTTAAGATGGAGAAGCATTTTACCAGTATTCAGATTATAAMCTGTTTTGCCTCTGTTCCAGAAGGCATCAAACAATTCAAAACATTTGTCAGTGCTTCCAKATGCAGGCTCTCCACAGTCAGGGGAGAAGAGTGAGCCTCTTGTTTTAAACCCTGCTGATTGTTTTTCTGAGTCAGTGTGAATGGCTCACTGTGACTCTGATGCTTTGATAGATGATTCTCTGTGTGGTGGCCACCACGTGCCCACTAAAGCTGCTCTGTCACTGCCCTCCTCAGATGGGCAGGGGAGAGAAAACATGAGGAGGGAGGAAACATAACGGAGAGATCACTCACCAGTTACCATCATGGGCGAAACAGACTCAACTTGGGAAAATTAGTTTAATTTGCTAGCAGTCAAACCACAGTACATTAACAAGAAATAAAACCTGATCTTGAAAACACCTTCCCCCAATCCCTCCCTTCTTACTGGGCTTAACTTTACTTGTGTTTTTCTCTTCCTCCTCCCCACAGCAGCACAGAGGGACAGGGAATGGGGGCTGAGGTCAGACCATCACACATCTCATGTCCTGAGGAGTCCTCACATTCTTCCTCTGCTCCAGCGTGGGTCTCTCCCAGGGAGACAATTCTTCATGAATTTTACCAGGGTGGGTTCAGACCTTCAGGATCAATCCTGCCAGCAAACCTGCTCCAGCCTGGGTTCCTCTCCATCAATGCAGGTCCTGCCAGGTCTGCTCCAGCAGGGTTCCCACAGAGCCACAGCCTCCTTTGGGCATCCAGCTGCTGTGGCGTGGGCTTTGTCACAGCTGCTGCTGGCTCTGCTCCCCGTGGGCTGCAGGGACACAGCTCTCTCACCATGGTCTGCACCACAGGCTGCAGGGGCATCTCTGCTTCAGTGCCTGGAGCAGCTCCTGCCCCTCTGACCTGGTACCTGCAGAGCTGCTCCTCTCTCTGGCCGCAATTGCTGCTGTGCCCTACCTTCCTTTCCCTTCTTAGTGTGTTATCCCAGAGGTGTTGCCATCATTGCCGACGGCTTCAGCCTTGGCCAGTGCCCGGTCTGTTTGGAGCCTGGCTGGTGTTGGCTCTGTCACTCATGGGGAARCTTCCAGCAGCTCCTCACCACCCTGCCYCTCRCTGCCAAAACCTTGCCATGCAGAGCCYAGGTCCTGTGTTTGTCTGGCACTGCAGTGTGCTCTGATTAGAGCCATCAGTGCCTCTGCACTGAAGCAGGGACGTTCTACAGGGCTGGGCCCTGCTGGAAACCTGCGTGGGGTTCACGGGCTCTGCAGCCAGGGCTCAGCCCGAGTTCCCTGCAAGTCTTGTGGAAATGTGCCCAAGTGAAAGTCAAAGGATTGCTCCCAAATTACTTAAGCTGTGTAGGATGTGGCTGCATTCCACACATACAGTGTTCAGGCTTTAGGATTTTATTAGATTAGCAAGTCTGGCTMAGGACGGAGGTGAGGATTGTAAATGTGCTTGCTGAGATCTCCAAAAAATAYTATATCCCCATCTGTGCCCCACAGCAGCATCCTTCTTTGGAGGAGCAGTTCATTTCATGTCAGTAACACAACTCAACCCACAGAAATATTTTTTGGAGAAGCATTATCACTTAGTCCACCCCTGTTTGGATTTAGCAGGCATCCAAGCTGCCAAGATACCTGCACTGCATTGGAGTTCGTGTTTGGGAGCTTGGGGAGAGTCCTAAGTTGTACTGATACAATGAGCAGTAGCACAGGATATGCTTAAAACAGTTAATGCTTTTCTGAATAATGAGTGAAAGTTCGAAGTCTCTCTAACTTTAACTTGAACCAGTCCCAGTGTTGGCTGCTGCGTGGCCTGTGACTTGCCAGCAGAGGAAGGCGCCCTGAGAAGCCCTGGAATTTCCTTCTCTTTGTGGCCTGGAAGATCACAGCCCTGAAGAACGTTTTCCCCAGCAGTGCTGAGCCCCTTAACACCCAGGTAATTGTGTTGTGGTTTGTATTGGAAGTGCTGGGATGRATCCTCCAGTGGCTGCTCTCTCCTGATGGTTCATTTTAAACATGGGCTGCTCCTCGGGTTTATGTGGCTCAGTGACACCCCGTATTCAGCCTCCAGTGCTGCTGGCTCTGCTCCTCCCGAGCTGTGGAGCTGTGCAAGCTCCCCTGCTGCTCATGGGAGGGTCGGCATTAGAGAGCACAGGCTGCACTGACAGCCCTGGTTGGTGTCTCTGGTCACTGCTCTTGGCCATCAGCTTCCTCTGGAGTCCTTTSCCCTCCCGTGGGGCTGCCTGCTCCCCTGAGCCAGAGGTGTGGAGCAGAGCTTCCTTGCTTTTTACAGGGATGGGTCTGCTGACCACATGCTTAATAAGGGATTTTGTAGAAAATCATGCCAGCTGGAAGCAAGTGCAGACCCAAAGGATTCTGCACATATTGTGAACAGATTATCTGTTGCAAGCAGACTGTAATTTACCTGAAACACGATTTTATCTGTCACACCTAGAGAGGCCAGGCTGATAGGCACAGTGTGTGTTAGGTATTCAGGCTCACAGCATCACAGTTATTTGGAATAATCTGACAGAGCTGAAAGAAGTGGGAGTGGGACAAATCTTGGAGTGGGTTGGAAAACCCCAGGCTGTGTCAGTGGTTGCAGTGGGGAGAGCARTAGGTTTGATTGAGTAAGGGGAAGGGCCCAGTTCCTGGGGGCATTTCAGTGCCAAAATATTGCATTGAATTGATCAAATCCATATAAAATTGGAAGTTTTGTGGTGATGAGGATGTTAATGCTGGGCTTGTTCTACAGGAAACTGAGTGAGTGACTTTGTGGCCTTGCACTGGAACATAAACATTGCATTGATTGATGTGCATGTATTGGCTGCTACAAAAAAGGGAAATGTGATTTAATTGTCAGGARTGACTGAAATATGAATGGGAATTACACAATTTGCACAGTGGATATAAGTGCTCTGTAGTGGTGTGACAGCAGGGCTCTAATTGTTCCCTTTTATTTGGTCACTTGGAAATTAGTGAGTATCTGACATTTTGATGTTTCATTAGTTTTGAGGAGGTTCCTTTTATACTGAGTATGGACCATTGTAATA